AAAGGGGTTTCGTATGATTCAGCAGGGGGATTTGACTCTGATGTACAGTTTCAATACCTGCCCGGAATTGTGTCACTAGTAGTGTCAGTCAGCTAAACACCTTTTTCCCTGAAGATTAATTCCATTACAAATTTAAAGGTGCAGGATTGTTGACCTGCCAACTGTGGAGAAATCCTGCTGTCTCACATTATGTGAATGTATATCTGTGTAATAATCCCCAAGATTTTATTCGGAATGCGTACTACACGTGTGTGCAGCAATCCAACACACACAGTACAGTATGGCATGGTATATAACGACAAACAACTTCTTGATCACTGGGCCCGAAGTTACGTCTTTAATTACCTAATTGAAATAAATTAATGAAATAAATATTGAGCCATTTGCAGTTCTTATCCACCTTTGATGGAGGAGTGTCAAGATCAGAAGTACGGGAGGAATTAAATCGTGCCAGCTATCACATGCACTCTGCAGCTTTGGAGCTTCTTCTAGCAGCATGTTTTACTGTATCAACTTGCACAAATGTAATTTGAAGACAAATTGTGTACAGGCTAGAGTGTCACTTTTTGTGAAGAGAGGGCCATCAGTGAGGTAAAGCCAACATCATAAATGCTGCGCAGTATCTATATTTTTATGAAGCAAAATCATTCATATATTCACCTGTGCCATTAAGTATTGTCAAACACAAAACTGACATTATCCTGCTTGTTAGGTTACATTTGACCTTCACACCACCTTCGTATTTTTACGCATCCAAACGTAAAACCTCTCACAGCCTTCAATAACAACTCCACCATTTTTACTGCAGCCCCTCTCACCGCTGCAGAGGGTGCCAACAAGAACGTGTCCAAACGTGTGTTGTGAGCTGACTGAGGATTGTGTCCCCAGAAAACATTTATTGAATGGCAAGTACAAAACAGTAGCATCATCAGTATCAGTCTTCTGCGGCTGCCCGGCGTGGCCTCAGTGTCTTAGCTGCATCTTGTATCAGCATTTCTTGCATCAAGAAACTTTCAGTGAGAGGATTAATCAAGTGGCATCACGCCTCGAAACCAGAACAACCAGTGGCTGAGTGGCAGCAGCAGACCTGAGATCATTTAAGGCATCAGCATTGAGCTCTAGGTGTGTGTGTTCATATTCAAATTCATGGGTTTATCAAGGACAGAGCTGCTCTTGCTGCAGTTACAAAAGTGGACGCAACACTTTTCTCACAGCAAAATATGCAACATTTGGATGAATTTTAAGATATTCAGTAAGACATCGCACTGGACTGAGGTGAAACAACTGCTCTGCGGAGGTCATTTAACGGCACCTGAGGGATTTGGTGGAGCTGAAAACAGGTTTCACAATCTCTTTTTCTGTTAAATAAATGTAACCCTCACGTGATGACATTAAATTTTTACACTTAAATGCAGTACAGTTGAAGTTACTCTGGTTATGTGTTTAAATTAATTCCATCTACAGTGGACAGACAATAAAAAGTCACATTTCTACTCCAGCCACTGAAGAAAAATGAATCAGTGACTGTTTTGATAAGATCAATCGATCATTTATCCAACAACACCATATATTTTACAGTTCTGACCTTGCAAATTTGTGAATCTGCTGCTTTTATCTGTTTAATATTAATGTAAATCAAATTCCTTTTAACTGTTGGCCAGACAAATGAAGTCTTTAACATATCAGCCTGGGCTCTGTTGATGTGTGATGAGCAATTTAATTTGATATTTTGTTTTAGTAAAAAACAATGTTCTATTAAAGTAATTAATCAATCAAAAAATACATTGACATATCTCTTGGTATACTGATTTATCTGTTCACAATGAATATTTTACTCTAAAGCAGTTTGATGACCACACTCCCACAGACTATTACTGCTCATAGTTAAGAGCAAAATCCACTTTCTCTAAAATATTACTCTCACTTTCAAGTGCAGAAGATAATAAAAACATAATAGATTACTGCAGACATATACAGCTGTTATATAGCTGGACTATTTTCCTTATTTGTCACTTAGGCTACCAACCCTTGATGCTTCCTGGACCAGATTATCTTAATATCAAACATATTTTCAGATTTTGACACTGCTCAACAATGATGTAACATGAACATACCTGTTTACTTGGTGAAGTTTGAAATGACAGACGTGCATATACAATATAGGCCTAAAGACACATTTTGACTCTCCTTTTGATTTCTCCATCAACTGAACTTTTACATTTAATGTCAGATTTAGATAAGGGGCTATTACAGCATCCAGCACTAAGAGGATGCTGTTCATATCATCACCATGTTGCCTGTTCATCACACTGACAAAGCATCTTTACTCGTTCACCCATACATCTCTGCTGCTCCACTCTGTGCTCCAGAATTGACTTCTTGGTAGTTTTCTACAGGGGCAGTTTAATAAAGTGATGCTCACCATGATGGAGTACACAAGAGCGACGATGCTGAGTGGCCAGACGGGGCAGAAGCAGGACAAGATGACGAGGATGAGGTAATCCTTGGGCTTCGGGGTCTCCTGGACGGTCGCGTTCCCAGTGGAGGAGCGGCTCAGACTGACCCTAGACGGGGAGAGGGGGACGGCTGCGGGGGCCAGCTGCCCGGCGGAGCCCGATCTCACAGTGACGCTGTGCCCGTTCTGGTCGGCCTCCAGGCCCTTGTCGCTGTCCACGTTGACCGTGAAGGAGGTGGACATCTTGATCGCATTCCCTCCAGGCTCGGTGGTCACCGCCAGGAGTTTCTCCGTCTCCTGGGAGTCTGCAGGCGGGGGGCCTCCTCCACCCTCTCCCAAGTTGGACTTCAGGAAGTCGGTGTCCGTGTTGATTGCCATGTTAAAGTCTCAATTGAATCAAAATCAGAAATCAGAAAATTTATATTTTTAAAAATTGCATTAAAATTGATTACAAGCCAGGAGACATTCCATAATAGGCTACAGCTGAAAGCAAATGTTTTACAACTTATCTTTAGCTGGGATCAACTTGGGGGTGGGTGGGTTAAAATTAGATTATTTGAAAAATGATGCGCTTTAAAAAGCTCGGGTGTTATCTAATAGATCAAACCCCCTGAAAGAAAAGAATAAAATCAGAGAGGAGATGAAAGGTGGGTGACTCCCGCAGATTGCCCTATCATTCTTCCTCTTCAATCACTTTCCTTCACCTTCCTTCACATCTGCCGTTTGACTCATTTCCGAAGGGGGCTCAGATCAGAAAACCTCCCCTCCTATCGGATACATCCAAGGAGGAACAATTCAGTCAAGAGGAGCTCCTGTCCCGCCTTGATCCAGTCCCACCACTTTCTGTCTGCCCTTTGAAAAGCAGCCTAAACGCCTCTCTTTCCCTTTCACAAGACAAGGTGAAGCGTCTCCTTCGAATCAAACTCCAAGTGAGCCACTTTTCTCTCCTCTCTTCCACTGTCTGTCTACACGCCGCAGCAGCACAGCGACTGTACTCAACTTGGGACCAGTGTAAAGGCACCCATTTTAAAACAGCACACTTCCGGTGACGAAACACAAAACAAAACCAACTCCAATGTCCTGTTTTAAAATGCTTTTAAAGACTTTAAATCGGTTTTGACTGCACTGTATTTATTCTAGTTTACAGAATAGCCAATCTCAGTGTTCTAGTGGCAAATATGTGTTCTTAAAATTCTAAAAAGCTATAAATTACTAAGCCGCCTGCATAGATTCTGCACAAACAGCTCAGATGTTAGAGGAAGGTTGGCTTGTAATTACAGGGGTGCTAGTTCAAAATCTGTCCACATGTTAAAGTGTCCATATGCAAGACACTGAACTTCAAATAACTCCAAATGCAAGCTATTTAAATAGGACCTTTCTCTGAACAAAGGCAATTGCCAAATGACTGCAGTGTAGGCTATAGCCTATAAGAATAAAAAAAAATCAGTTTTAACACATATAATCAGTTAAAAATGTGTTTAAAAGCAAAACACTAAAGACCAAAACAAGCAGATATTAAACACACAATCATTTCCTTTTATTTATTACCTTCCTTCCAAAATCTTACTTCATATGTTTTTATTTTTAATACATTATTGTCGTATCGTACTTCCGATGGGAAATTGTCTTTCTCTGGCTAACTTGACACATCTCCTGTTGGAGCAGGGCAGTCTGCCACTGATCCTCCTCCTCCTCCTCCCACTCCTCCGCCTCCCTTTCTTCTCCTGTCCTCAACATCAGCACCAGTGGTTTATGGAGGAAAGCCAGCAGCGGATTGTGCTGCTATGCAGAATTTTCTGTAGCCTGGTGTTTTAGTCCGGAGCAACATTTCCAGGCCGATATCATAAATCAACTCATTCTGAGTCAATTTTCTAAATAGCACTGAGGATATTCAGGTGTGAAGATTAACAACATGTCTGACTGTGTCTGCAAAAAGAAAGTCTCTAATGAAAGCTGTTTTAAACCACAGCTTTTAGACTCCTTGTTTAATTGCCTCAGATCAACAAGACTCAACAGCAAGAACTGCATTAGTAAAGGTGATTATAATGGGCTGGATGCTATGACTTGAATGTTTAATCAAGATCCTCAATGGGTTTTCTTTTCTTTGATCTGCTCATATTGATTTTCCTCATTATTAGACTGGTACATTAGCGTCAGCCTCATTTCCCTGAGTGACTGATACACAGCACTGTGTCCTGTGGTGGTGATGGTGACGGTGGTTGTGGTGTGTGTGTGTGTGTGTGGGGGGGGGACTAGTGCCGATAGTGATGAGTGGGGATTCCCTGAATGAAACTCAACTCTCAGTGTGATGTCATACCATTGATCTAATATTTTATGTCATTGCACAAATATAAGTGCATTAAAATGTGTTTTCCCAGTGCACATCCCTGATAGCAATTACTCACAACTCCCCCTTTGCGTTAAACTCCCACTGTTTCCTTCTATCTCTTTCTTCTCTCACTGTAAAGCTTTGTCCCTCCCCACTTTGTAGCAAATTCTCTGCGGTAAGCTCTTTTATGATGTACAAAGGGAAGGAGACAAGTAGTAGATGCAACCCAGATCATTTATTTTTATGAGCACCTAGAGACCTCATGAAGATGAGAATGCTGCTTAGGCCCAGTATCATTTCTCCAGCAGGGATCATGCAGAAGCAGAAGAATGATTGTGGTCAGAGCCCCACCTTGTGGAGCGGTAATGTGCTTACAATACTTTGAGAAGTAACTTGGTTTTAATCTTATTTGACAGGATTATCAACTATGAATAAAACTTTAGAAACAGCATAGGGACTACTTCAGTTCTTTTACATTGTTTGGCTGAATAGTGGCAAAGTGTGGGATATGACCTCTGAAAATAAAACTACCATCAGGGTGGCTGGCTCACATAACATCTGGTGGGACATATTTATTAAACACAGAAATCCAACTGAGCCACTCCAGAAATATATTACATGATGAGGAAATCCTCCAAAACAATATTAACAAATTAGAACAGTAGTGAACGCTTAGTTGTTTTCTTTAAGAGAGCTAGACAGCAAGACTGATACCACTCTCATGTCTGTATGGTATTTATAACTACAGCCAGCAGCTCACAAACTTAGTTTAGCAGAAAGACTGAAAACAAGGAGAAAGAGCTAGCCAGGCTCTGTCCAAAAGTAACAAAATCCACCCACCAGAATGTCTAAAACTCACCGAAGAATGTGTTATAATGGTACTGGTCAACAGATTTTTGGACAGAGCCAGGCTATCTGTTACCCCGTTTCCAGTATTTATGCTAAGCTAAGTTAAGCAGCTGTTAGCTCCAGCTATATTCAGACATAAGAGTGCTATCAATCCTCTCATGTAACTCTCAGCAAGAATTTTATTTTTTTTGCGTACTATTCCTTTAAACAAACTGGAATCATTATTCCTCACTTAAATATATTCATAACACAGCATATAGGCACATCTTATGGTCTTACTAAACATTGGAATATAATATAAATACAATACAAACAGCCTATTAAACAATCAATTCAAAATCAATGAACTATTGACCAAATTAAATATGATTGCAACGGTGAAAAGTCCTTCATTTAACTTATATAGTGTGTCTTGATCATGGTTTGGAGGAAAAAGAAAGATAGGTGTGAAAAAGTGAAGGTTTAAAATAATAAAAGCATTTCATTTTATTTCACACTCCTGGAAGTGTCTCACAGTCCTTAAACGTTAATTCACGGAGTTAAAAGTACAATCAAGCATAGAGATTTGTGATATAACAACTTAACTAATCTTTACCCCATCACTTCTCTGACTCACCAACCACTGTCTCTGATCAAAACATGCCCCTGTATTTGTCCTTGTCCTCCTGGTTCTTCTCTTCCATGCGCATGTTAAGCACTGCTAGCTCCTTCTTGACGGCCTTCTTCATGCCGGGGTCCAGGTCCAGCACCCTGCTGAAGTCCTGCCGGGCCTCCGCCTCATTCCACACTTCCATGTGGGCCTTGCCTCGCAGGTAGAAGGCCTTCACTACACCTGGAGGACAAATACAAGCACACACATGTTAGACAGCAGCTGTTCATGCAAGGGATGCTTTTACGTTAGATTCATAGACATTCTTTTAGACCATGGCAGTGCCAAACCTGGATGCTGGTTGATTATGTCGCTGGTGTGCTCAATGGCCTCGTAGTACTCTTCCATGCGCAGCAAACACTGACAGTAGTTGAGCGTTAAGGTGTTGGCCATCTTCTCTATCTTCAGCCACGGGACCTCCCATGCTTTCTCCTGAAGAGGAAAGTAGTTCAGATCCATGTCTATACATACTGGCAAATCAACATTTTTGACATAATCACCTTCATCTGAACATTCTTGATGCAGATGATGGCCTCCTTGTACTTATTTGCAGCCTCTTGGTAATTTCCTTGTTTGTAGAGCATGTTCCCCTGGCCGTGCAGCACAGGGACCACCTTCAGCCTCTCTGCATCACTCAGAGCCCACGACTCCCTGTCGTACTCACTGGGCTGCTGCACCTGTCAATCATACACACACATGCAGACAGGGAAGATTGTTTTTAAAACCCTACATTGGCATTAAATTGTGCTCGTACATCCCCCTACTAACTAACTAACACTTTTTCGTTACATTTTTTATATCCTTTTTATTTAACTTAAGTGTTACGTGGGTTAAGGATTTTAGTCATCCGACATGGATTTTAAGATAGATGACCGTAAAAACGCGATCAACGCTACTGACCACAACAAAGCTCCGGTGACTATGCTAGCCGAGATAACTCTGCCCCATGAGGACTGCACACTCCTTAAGAAAGCGAACAAGAAGATTGCTGACCTTATGGAAGACATCCGACGACTTTCAGAGGAACTCAAAGAGAAAGATTCCCTGCTGACTGGCTTTATGGATGTGGCTTCAGTACAAGCCAAACAGATTGTTTCTCTTAGCGCAACCGCTAACATCCAGGACACCGTGTTTTGGGACCCCTCTAGCCTTCCCAGGCTTTCATCCTGCTCGACTCCGAAGCATCAGTCAACCTGGGCTGAAGTGGTGGTCCGTGGCTGCTCGGATGGGGCTGCCTCTCCTCCGCACATCGGCCTCTCCAACCGCTATGCAGTCCTGTCTGACGGCACTCCGGTCCATCCAGCGGATGCACCTGCAGCTTCGAGTCTCCCTGATATGGATCTCTTTCTGCGGACATTGCCTGCCGACACTGTTGCATCTCCTTCACCGGCTACATCTCCCGCACTGGGCCGCCGGTCTGTCGCTGGGCCTGATCGGCGGCCGTCATCTCGGTCAAAAACCTCCGCTTCCCGACGTAGGATCCTGAAGGAGGCTGTGCTCAGACGCTCCGGAGGCCGTCTCTACCCTGCTCCGTCGGGTAGCACTTCTGTCAGGTCTGTTACTGCTACTCCAACACAACACTCGGCAGCTCACACACTCCATCATCAGTCCGCACGCAGTGTTGAAGCAGATTCTGCTCAGTCCTGCTCTGGAACCACACAACCGGCATCTCCTCGTCCTCTTTTCTCCCCAACCACACTAATAATTGGTGACTCCATAACCAGAAACATCCATTTCTTTAACGCTACCACTCGCTGCTTCCCTGGTGCCACCACGGCTGACATTTTAAAAAAACTCCAGGACCTGATGCCGTCGCTCCAGTCCTCCGTGTGGAAAGTCCGTTTTTATCTCTGGTCCCATTCCCACTGTTGGTCGCGGTGCTGGCCGCTTCAGTAGACTCCTTGGCCTCCACGACTGGCTCCAGTCCGCCTGCAGGGCTCATCGTGTGTGTTATGTGGATAATTTGAATATTTTCTGGCAAAGAATGTCTCTTTTTAAGACAGACGGACTTCACCCAAACAAACGGGGCTCAGAAATGTTGGCTGCTCACATACAGCATGTGGTGCGGTCCTCCCCTCAGGACTTACGTGAATGACTAATCATTCATGCAGCACACCTGGACGCACCACCGCTCACTGAACAGATCTCTGCCTCACTGCCACAAACAACTGTCTCCACCTGCTGGCATGTAAAGACGTCTGCTCCCAGCACTGTTCCAAAGACTTCTATTCCTGTCATCATCACGCATAGACCAGTAAACCGAAATGTGCACATCCCACACAGAAATATTAGTAATCTCTTAAGGATTAGGACAACTGCACCAACTCCAGCACCTAAAACAAACTCATTCAAAATGGCTCTCTTCAATGTGAGATCACTTTCAAGTAAGACTTTTATCTTAAATTATTTTATCTTGTCTGCAAATCTAGATTTTATGTTTTTAACTGAATCCTGGTTGCAAATGAATGACTATAGCCAGCTAGCTGAACTGTGTCAGCCTCAATATGATTGTTTTAGTCAACCGAGGGTCAGTGGTCGTGGTGGTGGGCTAGTGAGCGTGTATAGGAAAAATTTAAAATGTCATCAAGTACGCTGTGATGAATTTAACTCCTTTGAAGTTCTCACTCTTAAAGTTGGAGGGCTGCAACCTATCATATTTGTTGTAATTTATCGCCCCCCAAAACCGCCTGGAGGATTTTATCAGAACTTCCTGAATTTCTATCTACTCTGGTTTTAAATTATGACAGAATTGTTCTTTGTGGCGATTTTAATATTCATGTTGATGACCCCACCAATGTTAATGCAACTGACTTTTTAAATATGGCCACTTCTTTTAACTTCAAACAACATGTCAAAGGGCAAACCCATAACCGTGGTGGTCGTACACTGGACTTGGTTTTTACCCTGGATGTCAGCATTTCCTCTGTGGAATTAGTGGACATGACCATATCTGACCACAGATGTATTGTTTTTAGCTGCGATTCGCCTGTTACTCATGCCGCCTCACCAAGCTCCGTGTGTTCTCGCATCTTTAATGAACAAAGTGTTTCAAAGTTTTGCACATTCTTTCAGAGCCAAAGCCAACACCTGTCTGATTCCAAGACCAACAATCTGGTCGATCACTAAAATCATATCTGCTTGTTGTCACTAAATATTACTCCTCTAAAGGTTAGGCCTACGTCTAAAGCTAGTAAGCAACACTGGATAAATGACAGCATTCGCAGCCTCAAAAGGGAATGCAGGAAAGCAGAGCGCAGATGGAAAAAATCCAGTCTCCAAGTCCATTACCTCAGTCTGAAGGATTTATTAATTAACTACAATAACATGGTTAAGGATGCGAGAACACACTATTTTTCTGAACTCATTACTACACATAAACACAATCCCAGGTTTCTGTTTAAGACTGTGGATCAGCCCCCCCCCCCCCCCCCCCCCCGGCCTCTTACTCAGAGGTTCCTCACCATCAACAAGAGAGTTTTAACCAGTTTTATCCCATCGACTTGTCTGAGCTTTTATTGCTCAGTATCACAAATGAGAGTGTCCTCCAGCCCACTTGATGTAATAACTACAAAGTTTTTACTGAAAGTAATAGATCTGTTGGGCCCCATTTGATCTCTGTTTTAAACAGCTCCCTATCTACTGGTTGTGTCCCTGATTATTTTAAAACGGCTTGCGTGAACCCGCTTTTAAAGAAACCTGATTTAGATCCCTCCCTCCCTCCCACAAAATTTTAGACCTATTTCAAAACTGCCTTTTATTGCAAAGATTATAGAAAGAGTTGTGTCCAAACAGCTGCTCACTGTACTGGAAAATAACAAAATATTTGAAAAGTTTCAATCTGGTTTCAGGAAGTACCACAGCACTGAGACTGCCCTGCTTAAAGTCACCAATGACCTTTTAATGTCTTCTGATGAAGGCATGTGCTCAGTCCTGGTACTCCTGGACCTTAGCGCTGCTTTTGACACCATTGATCACAACATCATGTTAGACAGACTGAGGCACTGGGTGGGGATCTCTGGTACTGCCCTAGAATGGTTTTCATCCTACCTGTCAAATAGGAAGTATTGTCTGTGTCTGTAAACAACTATGTCTCCTCGTTCTGTCCAGTTAAATATGGTGTGCTTCAGGGGTCGGTCTTAGGACCCATTTTGTTTTCCTTGTATCTGCTTCCCCTTGGACATATTATCCATAAACATGGCATTTCTTTTCATATTTATGCTGATGACACACAAATATACTTGCCCGTCAGATCCACAGACCCTGGAATGCTGAGTTCACTTAACAACTGCCTTTGTGAAGTTAAAAAAATGGATGTCAAATAATTTCCTCCAGCTGAACTCAGTCAAAACAGAAATCCTGGTCATCGGGTCCCAGCAGATGGCAAAACAAATACTGCCATCTGCTGGTTCCCTAGTAAATCACATTAAGCCTGTGGCAAAGAACCTTGGTGTCTGGTTTGATAGTAATTTAAATTTCAAGCAGCACACCACAAAGCTTGTTCAATCATGTTTTATCAACTTAGAAATATAGCAAAAATTCAATCTATGTTAACTTTTAAGGACACCGAGACCATTTTACACGCCTTCATCTCATCACGCCTGGATTATTGCAACAGCCTTTTCACCTGTTTAACCCAAAAATCTATTGATTGACTCCAGACTGTCCAGAACTCAGCTGCCAGGCTTTTAACCAGAACAAAGAAATATGACCACATTACTCCTATTTTAGCTTCACTACACTGGCTCCCAGTATGTTTTAGAATTGACTTTAAAATTCTATTGATCACTTTTAAAGCTCTTCATGGCCTCTCGCCTTGTTATATTTCTGAACTTTTAGTCCCATACACACCAGCACGTACCTTCAGATCCTCGGGCAGAGGTCTGTTGTCTGTTTCAGAGTCTCGACTGAAAACTAAAGGGACAGATCGTTTGCTGTCAGGGCCCCGAGGCTCTGGAACAGCCTGCCCGAGGAAATCAGGTCAGCTGAGTCAGTAAACTCTTTTAAGTCCCTTCTTAAAACATACTTTTATAGGAGAGCCTTTCCCGATCTTATTTGACTTTATTTTATCCCTTTTATTTTATTCTATTTTACTAATTTTATATTATCTTAAACATGTATTTTAGTCTTTTCTTTTCTTTATCTTGTATTGTTTTTGTATTATTGTTTTTTGGGTATTATTGTCTTTACACTTGTTAAAGCACGTTGTAACTTGTTTTTGAAAAGTGCTACAAATAAAGATTATTATTATTATTATTATTATTATAACGTGCCACTTCCTTGTTCAGGAAGCTTACCTTTGACACATAATCCACACAAATTTGTGTGGTTGTCTCTGTTCTCTCTCACCTTCAGCAGCTCCAGGACAAAGTAGAGGGGCTTTGGTTCCTTCATCAGCTCATCCAGGTCATCGTAGCCAAGGCTGTTGTAGGCGAACATGTTGGCCATACCACATGTATGGATGTGCCAGTCGACCGGGTCTTTGCCTTCTGCAATGCGCCTCATACTCTTGGATACAAGTGGGTAAACTCCAGTGTGCTGGAGAGGCGAAATGACCACAGGGATCACAATTTAAAGCAGAATTTCTAAATAATAAAGATCTTTCTCTGTGAATGGCCTGCATTGTAGACTAAAGGTGACTGAGGTTATATTGTTATATTGACTCTGATATTTGAGCCTCTTAAGAACTAATGAACCAACTTGCCTCCAATGCCTCACTGTCATGAAACTGAAGGCCATTCACTGTTAATGGAGCAGCTCCTGGATTTGTCTTTAGATGACATCACTACCACTACCAGTCTGTTTTTGATTTTAAGCCTATGGAGAGACGAATTAAGAATCACAAACTAAACCAGCTGCTGAGATGAACAATAATATAGAAATAATGTGTCAAGTAAATTTGATTTATATAGCATCATTTCACAAATGCTATAGTCTGTATGTTGCGTGTACAGAATAAACCAAAATAGCAAAATAACAATATGGAAAATCAGGATGATGATTATAGATAGATTGTAAACATACAGGAAGAATTTGAATGTATACACTGTTTTATGTTGTTTTTTCCTTTCAATCCTGACCATGCACCCTGTCACTGTGCCCCTTCAAGAACCAACCCTGCAACCAATCCTGACTTTACTTGCAGCTTACTATCGGAAGTGTAAAACTAAACAAGCCAAATTAAAATGGGAAAAATTAAATTAAAATTTTTTAATTTAAAAATTAAAAATAAATTTTTTTTTTACTTTTTGGGCTTCTAAGATTTCTTTTAAAAAATTTTGTTAGTTTGTTTTCACATGTAGTGGTTGAATACACTGTTTTATTTCCTAATATTTCACTTCTAACTTCCAATTTTTACATTGGAATTGTCATAACAGAAATAAATAGAAGATTTAGCATTTTTGTTAATAATGATACATTAAACTAATTAAAGCTTAATTCCTATTGAAACTTAAATGAGTTCGATATGAGTTCACATTATCTCTGGTCTATTTCCTCAGTTTAACATGGCGAGTATGCCCTCCACTGGATGGGAGTGATACTGCACAAATTATGCAATGGAGTGTGCGGTGCAGCCATGTTGTTCAGAGGAGTGAAAAAATGCTCTAAGCCCCATCAAATCTAATCAGAGTGGATGGGATTCAGTAGTGCTGATTCAGCAGGAATCAGAGCCGATTAGGTAAAAGTGAGGCTGCTGCAGATTAATAACAGTATGCCTCAACCCATCTGTCTCTGACAGAGTGCAACACACACACACAGACACAAAGACCAGTCAAACACATGCATCAACACATATTCAGAGGAAGTATGTTTGCTTCACAGCACCTATCTCTGTCATAGGGGCATATATATATTTACATATCAGATATCTGTTTGGGACAACAGCTTTCATAACAGGAAGAGGTCACAGAAACAACATTTGTAAAGACAAAACATTACTCACACAGAAAATATGCAGGGAATTCAAAGGGAAACTAAAGTGAAAGCTAACCAGATGTTTTTAATACAAACAACATTGTTTGTCATAAACCACCAATAATTATGTAAGTTTGGTAGCCTGTTGATCCAGTTTTGCAAAAGTCGTGAGGACCCTACTCTTAGCCCTGTGGAGCCTAAGAGTGATACATTTTATTTTACTGTCTAACCACTCCTGGGTTTATTTTAAATTTCATGAACAGGAGAGTTATATCACAGAGGGTGAAATGTATTCTTTTGCTTTATGTTTAGGCTTTGAATGTATAACTGGAGGACATAAAACTATTCTTATTGGGTTGATCTGTTGCTTGTTATTAAAAGCAAAGTCTATAACCTGCACATCTGCAGTGTGACGTTATTCTGTATAAAGTCAACAGTCAAACATCTCAGAAGAGGTTTGCACTAACAGACTATGATACACTGTGCAGTAGGACTTTTTTATCAGCACTTACAATGGTGTCACACCAGTACTCAGCCACCTCACCGATCCTCATGGAGGCCAACAGGTTCTCCCAGATGTCCAGTTTAAACATGTTGCCGACGACTATCTCCATGGGCGTCCCCACCACTTTGCTGTCATCTATCACTGTACGTTCGTCATCACACAACTGGGTGCGGAAGTGGAACGTCACCTGGAGTACAAATAGAGCCATAGAAAAGAAGAACCATTTTGAGAGAAGTACTACATGAAGCCTGCTTGTTAAACTATACAGTGTGGACAAAAAGTGGGGAAAATGACTCATAATCGCAAAGACTTTAGCTTTAAAAACAGACATTGACTCTTTCAGGTAAGATATGACAGTTAAAGTTGCCTCAAGTCAAAACTCCTTGCAGGCAAAGATGACATGGTTTGGTTGAAATTGGAGAATAAACACAAGTAAACATCAGTCTCAACAAAAATGTTATGAAACAAGAAGTTATTCCACACGGCAGACAGACAGAAGGAAGGTCAGACATGACAAGGTTGCGTGGTTGGTTGTATAACGCCCAAGGAAAGTGAAACCATTTAACAGAACTGTGCTCGCTGTGGTGCAAAAACTGCTCTTTCATGAGCTACTCCTATATGTCATGATAACAGTGCCCTTATATACAGCCCAATGCAAGATATTTTATGAACCTAGGATCATCATTTAACACTAATAGGGAACCTTCAAGAGCAGTAAAGAGTAGATTTCCACTCATAGAGATAAAGAAGATCAACCTCTTCTGGCTGCCAGTGGGAATTGCAACAATATGAATGAGCCTCATCAAGCTCAGTTGAGATGAGCTTGAGTCACCAAAATAAAAATGGCAGGAAAATTGTATCTATGAATCCCAAGGAATGAATCCATGCATATTAAACAAACACCATATCAAATCTTCACAGGATATGTCACGGTCATGCTCATCAACAGGTTTAAAAACTACTTATTGCTCCTTTAGGTCAAGTGCATATTTAAAGGGATAAGCAAGGAAATACACCGAACACAACGGAATTGAAGACAAATAATTTATTTGAAAATAGCATACCTGCCATGTTTAAAATAAAGTCTATATAACAGTCAAGGACATGTTTTTGAAATAGTGCCTTTGTTTGCACATTCTTAATTTCTTTTGTTGTTTCCCCATCGTTCTCCCACTGTCTAGAAAAACTGCTCTGTCTCGTCTCTGCATGGTCATGTGATGCTATGCACACAATATAATAATTAAGCGTATATATATCAAAGATTCTATTAGTTCCTCAAATTGATTTAGAAGATTCAAACTAGCTTTGTGAGATGTATTTTTAATCATCCTCTTTAATTTGTCCAAAAGAATGACCAGATAGCTGCTGAACTATGGTTCCATTAGATTGCACAGTATCTGGACTGTATTAGTAAAAAAGCTGTGGACTCACACAACTTAGTCTGTAATGCTTGAGAGCTATTTCTTAAAAGTCTCAAAAGTGAAAGTAAATACCGATCAGTGACGATCTAGATGTAAAGTGAAAAGTACTGAAGGCCTACAGTACCTTTGCCCCAGCAGTGAGTTTTGGGATGTCTCCAGTACCTCCATGTAGGATTGTTTTCTTGATTCCCTCCGAGCCCAGCAGCAGCGTGGCCTGCATATCCGCCATGTTCTTTGTTGATTGCAATTGATCACCTTATATTACCATGCATATATATACATCTTATGAGGAAGTCTGTGCGTATGATGTGTGGGGTACAATATGTCTAAAAGGTATGGATGACTTGGAGGTGTTGTTCCTGATGGATTAGTTTAGGTAGGGATAATGAGATTAGAAACTTCTCCTCCTCATCTCTCTGTCACTTCAGCCATCATCAGCACTTTCTCTGAATACTGTCAGACCCCAGAAACATCCAGAAATGAGGAGAGACAAAGTGTCAGAACAAAAGAAACATGCAATAGATTAAGATTTTGGAACGAGTGGCTTGTAGGGGGGGGATTAGTTTTCTTAGGTGTACGTGTCGATGTCTGTGTGGATGATGAATGCAACCCTGTTGGATCTACCATGAGACCAGTATGAAAGTGTGTGCGTGTGAGTGTGTGTGTGTGAGAGAGAGAAAGTAGGAGGAAGGAAGAAAAGAAACACAAACAGGTCTGTGAGAGTTGGACATGGTTTCCATTCCAGAGGAAATTTCCTGGATTTATGTGGATGTGGTGATCTGAACAATGCAGAGAATACTGAGAAATGGTGGAGCAGACAATTACTGTATGGACTCCTTGACCTTGTCTATTAAACATCTGTCTCCCATCTGGGCAATGTGTGTGTGTGTGTGTGTGTGTGTCTATCCCGCTCCAAGAGCGCTCCAAGCTGGTGTTTGCTAACAAAGTCTGCAAGCAGTTTGAGGAGGCAATTATTCTCAAACATTACCCAGTGTTAATGTCTTATTCCGTACTAATTGCACAAATTGAAAACCCCATAACTGCACCTTGGCAACCCTCACCATTGTATAACTTTACAGCTTTGTGTTTCCTCTATGGAGAAAAATGGAGGAATAGGTATTTCACCATGAATTATCAGGCACTGTTGGTGTCTTATCTCTGTTCAAATAAGACCTTGATATCCTTGGAAAGTGCTGCAACGTGTCATCAAGTGGGCCTTTTTTCCACTGATGTGACAAACAGGATTGGGCAACAGTTTGGCATGTACTTGGCAGCTCTCCAAGCACATGAACGGATTTCACACTCTCCTGTGGAAGAGGTCGGTATTGCAGCAGGAGCTGGTCCTTCTTTTCTTGATCATACTGGGACTGATTTTGTGTGTGTTGCTAATGTGGAGCTTTTAAGCCCTTTCAGGGCATTTGTGATACTAGGCAGCACAAGTAGACTGGATTTGTGCCACAGGTCATGAGCAATATTATAATAGTAATGAGAGTATAATTAAATAATGAATAAATATGATAAATTGTTTCTCCTCTCTCTGAATTTTGCTCCTCCATCCTTCTCTATGGAAACACTGGGCATATGGTGGGGTGCTTCTCTGGGATGAAAGATTTGTGTTGCTATAGTTACAGCCTTTTAAATACTTATCATATCTGTGAGTTTAACAGAACAAGAAAAAAAGTGTGCTTGATCTTCGTTGTTGGAACCCGGTCTTTAATTGTGCTGAATGTGCTCTTGGTTTGGTGATTTAAAGTTGCGTCAGTGTCCGCATCTCTGGTCATTTTTCCTATCAGTGAGGGGAGGGAGCAGTAAGCATCCAACCTGTTGGAGAGATAATACCATGACAATAGTGTGTGCTGTAACTCAGGCTTTGTGTCAGAGTGACTCAGACAGTAATGCTTGCGTCAGACCGCCTACACCTTTCTCTACTGCTCTGCCTATGCATGTCTGGGTGCATTTGTATGTGGAGGTGTGTGCAGATGTGCCAGTTTGCTGAACCGCATGCACACAGGCCTTTGAGATCAGGTTCAGCTACAGGCGGTCCTGCCAGCAGGAGGTACACCATGGTCTCCATAATGTTTAGCCCTGCCGGGAACCCGTCCCTGATCCATTAGTTCCACTTTAAGCAAATCATACTCTATTTCTGGAAAGTACAGTCATAGATTTCCTAGGGAGGAGCTGTTCCATGTGTAAAGCCATTCATTCATATACATAACGCACAGGGGAGGGCTCCTTCCATGACGCACAACATATACGCACATAGTATAATGTTTATGAACGTGTGAACCTTTTGTGCTTCTGCGGTGGGAATGAGGAACAGAGAGAGCGCGAGGGAGAGAACAAGAGAAAGAAAATCCTTCTTTCTCTACATGTAGAGCTGACCTAGCAGATCTAAAAGGAAGACGAACAAGCAATAAGAGCAGTGTGGGGGTCACTAAAGTTGAGAGACATACTCCATTTCATATATTTAGCAGGTGTAGATGTTTGGTATATTGCAGATTGAAATCTTAAAACGTACAATTAGCATAATAAAACACCAGGCATTGTTATACAGTACGTTTAATAGTATTTTACGTGTAACATAGTTAAAATTAGCATTACCTTGACCAGGTACAAATGCTGTGTAGATAGACAATCATGATCACCAGTAAATGTAATCAAACACTGACAGAGGCGTTCATTAGGCTCTCGTTGCCTAATGAGTGCTTTTACTTTTGAAACTGTAAGTTATGCTGATTTTACTACTGATTTTACTTTTACTTAAACTTGCATTAATTAATTTTTTTTTGCCAGGTGGGGGCGACATCAAGCTTTACCACAACAGCTACATGTTTCATTTCTGGTATTTAATAAATAGCGCTGCCTTTTAATCCCATTTGGGATGGATAAAATGTTTAGAATGAAATAGTTTTAATGAGATAAAACTAACTATTTTGATAAACTATTATCAACTAATGAAGTTGTTATGGTGAATGTGTTAGCAAACAGTTACATTTTAACACATCCAGCACAGCACACAACATCAACATTCTTTCAGAAACAGTGTTTTTGGTGACCTCATGAATGTAATTCAAATATTCACTCCTTTTAGCTCTCTTTTTGGTGTCCACCAGCTCCTGATCTGCCTCTTTAGCAGCTAAACGCTCTACCATGATAACTAGTCTTAACTTTCTCTGTCAGCTGCTTGATGCTGAGCAGGCTGCGTACAGTGGGTACTTTCACTGCAAACAGCTGGAAACAGAGCACAGAGTGAACCAAAACAGGGAAGACTGTAAAACCAGAACAATAAGATAAAAGACGCTGAAATGCTCCGCAAAGTATAATTTGAGAGAGAGTAATTTGATCACAATGAGTACGATTGTGTCCGATACTGCTGACACACACGTACATAGATCAAGACCAAGGCACCATGTCACTAAGTATCCATGTCATCTGTGTTTGTGTACGTGTGTGTATTTCTCAGGTTGAGGAGAAGTGACAAGGTGGAGGGCTACATGATGAATCACAGCCGCCGTTGCCACACACACCCACACCAGTAATGTGTGTAACAGCATTCCTAACATCTTCAGTAGAGACATTTTGCCAGAGGTTTCATCTGTTCTGACTTTGTAAGGAAAACATCTGAAACTTCCAGCCTACAGATGCTTTCCAATCTTTTTCTGAATCAGTTTGAACTTTTTTGATCATTTCTGGTTTGGAATGGCCTGGCAAAACTGCTCCACAATTTTTGCTTTCCTCCTTTTGGTCTAAGTAGGCCATAGATGAAATACTTAGAGACAGATGTAATTTTGAGGAGTCTGACTTCTCCTTCAGTTAGACATCAATGTGGACCCTGTCTGAATGGACACACATGCTACACGCTAGACTGATCATTGGTCTTTTTCTCAAATTTTCAGTCTGAAAAAATGTTGCTTCAAACCAATAAAATGCTCCTAAACTATCTAAACCAAATTCATTAAAATGATTCTGTTTCTGAATAAATATAGGGGAAGAAGTTGCAGAGCATGCTGTATTTTATAACCAAAAGTTCACTGACTTGTCCAGTATGTATCTGACTGAATTTTGCAGTTGAGTTCAGCAGATGTAGTTATCCCACATCACATAAGGGAGTGATAACATTTTGCCAAAACAATGATTCAGACAATTGTTATTTTACAAGGTGTGCAAGGATGTAGTGCACAAATGTGTACTATCAAATGATCCAAAAAAGTAAATTTCTTCTAACTGGAGTTTCCAGCTTTTTGATGTAACGTTGCTTTTTCAGTCACATGAGACACAAATCAGGAATCAGTGTGTGTGTTTGCTAAGCAGCGATGCGCTGATTTTGCAGAGTAAATTTTCAGATGTGCTGTGACATTCATAAGGACAACAACTGACAAAAAACTGATGAATATAAACAATAAAAGTTGCGCTTTTTTACTCTTCTACTCCACCAGATGAGGAAGTGAAATTGTTAAGTTTTTCCAGTCCATCCCTCATATTTCCTCCAAAGATTTGAAAAGGATAAACAAGATGGCAGCAGTTCAAACAAGCCAGTCATATCCCCCAGGCCCTGGGGATTTCTTATTTAGATCTACTATTCAACTTTGTCTGTGTTATTTAGCTGTGCACACAACCTTCAGTCATAGATTACAGATGTCTGTGGAATTTGAACAATTAACCGATTGCCTAAACTCTTAACAATGTGTCCGCTAAGTTATGGTTAATAGAGAGCATTCTGGTCCTTATTTACATCTTTATATCTGCAGTATTCCTCACCAGATCATACTGGTGTCCATGATGGTGTTTCCAGCCCTTGTAATTTTCCACTAGCACATATTTCTAAACTTAAATTTCCTTCATTACACACACGTGTAATCTGAAAAGATTGCATTTCAAATGGCAGCATCCCAACCATGTCTTACAAATTCTGCTGTGAGTCAGCAAGACAATGATGAGTTTGTTCTATGCCTGGATTAACACAGAACAGCAACATAGATATGTAACCCTGCATGACTAGGATCTATTTAACTAACAGGGAAAAGACCCAGTCTGAACCATGTAGTGATATCCACTTAATTCAGTCTTCCATGTGTAAATCCAGTCTATTCACGCAGTAAAACGCAGCCTTGAACCCAAGCATAAAGGTCAGAGGTCAGAGTCACTGTTCTCTAAACCACTGAGACCCAGGACTTTTGACCCCGCAGTACCTCTTCTTGCCAATAGGTGTGTGTGTGTGTGTGTGTGTGT